CCCCAATAAGTAGACACACACAAGAAGGAATGGCTCACCGTCAGCATTGAGGTGCATGGTCTCCAGAGGTCCGATGAAGGCGTAGCGAGGACCCAGGCCGTTCACCATCACTTTGTCGATGTCTGCGGCACTGAGTAGACCCTCCTGGCGGGGACAACCACAGTCACAATGATCAGGACAATGACAGTGACAACGACAGTCACAATGATCAGGACAATAACAATAACAACGACAATAGCAATGATAATGATCAGGACAATAACAATAACAACGACAATAGCAATGATAATGATCAGGACAAAAACAATGACAGCGACAATGAGTATGACAGTGAAAATAAATGACAGTAACAATAAACAACGACAAGGACAATAGCAATGATAATAACACAGTGACAATACAATGACAATAACAGTGACAATAACAATTACAGTAAGAATGATAATGAAAATGACAATAATTAACGCAGTGACTATGACAACAAGAACAATAACAATGAGAGTGACAATAACAATAACAATGACAGTGATAATGAAGATAAATGACAGTAACAATAAAAACGACAAGGACAATAGCGATGATAATGATGGTGAAAATATAATGTCAATGAGAGACAATGATAGGAACAATAAACAATGACAGTGAAAATGATAATGACAGTGACAATAACATAACAGAGACAACGATAATGACAGTGACAATGACAACAAGAACAATAACAATGACAGTGACAATAACAATGACAGTGACAAAGCCAATGGCAGTGACAACAACAAGAACATTAACAATGACAGTGACAATAACAATGACAATGGCTGTGACGATAACAATGACAGCGACAATGTTAATTTATTCATCTAGCAGGGTGAGGGAGACATTTTGTCTCGGCCACTGACAACAGTGGTGGTGTTACAAAGTAGAGCTGGGCGCAGAATCCATTCTGGAACCGATTCCCACGATTAATGCTACGAAAGAAAAGTTCCGACTCTTTTTTACGTTAACCAAAAGTTACCAGTTACTTTAATCATTAAAATCTTCTTTTTTTTAGAACTTAAAAAAACAACAAAAAACTTGATGCTTAGAAGTGTTCCAAAATCAAGGTTATCCTAAATCTGAAGGTGTTCGGAGCCAACCAGGTAACCACGGGAAGAAATCACATCATTAGAAAATAATTGGGTTCGGAGTCGATTCCTACGATTCCCTGCGTTCAATGATCGGGAACCTGGCCGCCCAGCACTATTACAAAGGTTAAGTGTTGCGCATTCTTTTTGGGTTTGTTTTTTTAAAAAAAATAAATGCATGAAGTATGGGCTGAAACACCTCTGCTCCATAAACATGCCCTCTCTCTCACTCTTTCCTTCCCTCATCTCTCTCTCTTTCTCTCTCCCTCCCTCCCGCATAGAGCATGCTGAAGAGCGTGGACATGTGCTATATTAATGTAATCATTATTACTCATTTACTGTCATTATTATTATTATTATTTTAATTAAATTATTATAATTATCATTATTATATGTACTAGCGATCAAAAGAAAGGTACGGTACCACTTTTTGACTATGAGAAAAGTCTAGTCTTTGGAGCCTTTATGCTTTTCCTTCCAGGAGAGTGATAATGATAATAGTAATAACTAGCATTTGTATAGCGCATGTCCCCGCTCAACTGCAGGCTCTATGCGCTTTACACTATATTATTACCCCAGCAGACCATAGAACACTCCGAAACATTCTCAGCTTCCCGGGAAGCATACAGTGCAAGCAGCTGGTTAAGCGCTTTTTCAAACACTAACAAACTGACAAGATCTTTCACTGTCTATAGCTGGGTACCCATTCCCACCTGGGTGAAATGAGGAAAATTTGTGTGAAGTGCCTTTCCCAAGGACACAACGTCGGGCCTGCGGCTCCAACCCCCGAACCCGCAACCTCACGATTACGAGTCCGGTAGCCTAACCACTAGGCCACCGACGTCACATTAATGAGTGCTCTAAAAAGTAGCTTATGTCACGTTACAAAGGCAACATTTTGGTTCTTACTCTAGTGTTCACAGCACCCAAATCTAAAACAAAAGAAAACTTTTTCCCGACCACGCGGCCAATCTTTTCAATCTTTTGTTGTTTAAAAAAAATTAAGTTTAAGTCTTTGTTTATCAAAAACCACAATAACGTTAAAAAATCATTTTCGCCCAAGAAAGATGGTAGGTTAACTCATCAACATTAGAGAAATGAAGGCATGCTCCATGCGTTTCTGCTGTTGCCAGGACATCTAACGTCAACAAAAATAAACTTATATGGCTCGCATTCGTTATGACCGTACAGAAATTACTCTTTCGAGTATGTATCTTTATAACTCCAAAGGTCTTGTAATTAAATTCCTGCATGTGGTTGAATGATGCATCTGATGTGATATGAACATTTTGTCAGCTTTATTTCTCTTTTCATATAGAATTTTAAAGAGAGTAATATATAATTTAAATTTTTAGGTATACCTGCATATGTTTTTACGGTCCTGTACAGCCAAAAAAATTTCCCTCTGGGATAATAGAGTATTATCTTACCTCTTATCAGAAATTTACCTTGAACATGCTCCAACACTCGTTGATGATGGAGTACTGGATTCTATTGAGGGCAAAGCCAGCGACTTCCTTGCTGAGGGTGACCGGAGACTGACCCACGCTCTCAAGGAGCGACCTGGTTTTGGCGGTGACCTCTGGCAAAGTCCACGGGCCCGGGACGATCTCGACCAGGGGGATGAAGTATGGGGGGTTCACCTGTGGCCACACAGGACAGAGGACACTAGACGTGGTTTATGATGCCACGACATATGTTAGAAATAGAAGACACTGTATGTGGTTTATGATGCCGCGACATATGTTAGAAATAGAAGACACTGTATGTGGTTTATGATGCCGCGACATATGTTAGAAATAGAAGACACTGTATGTGGTTTATGATGCCGCGACATATGTTAGAAATAGAAGACACTGTATGTGGTTTATGATGCTGCGACATATATTAGAAATAGAAGACACTGTATGTGGTTTATGATGCCGCAACATATGTTAGAAATAGAAGACACTGTATGTGGGTTATGATGCCGCAACATATGTTAGAAATAGAAGACACTGTATGTGGTTTATGATGCCGCGACATATGTTAGAAATAGAAGACACTGTATGTGGTTTATGATGCCGCGACATATGTTAGAAATAGAAGACACTGTATGTGGTTTATGATGCCGCGACATATGTTATAAATAGAAGACTCTGTATGTGGTTTATGATGCCGCGACATATGTTAGAAATAGGGGAAACTTTACGTGGTTTACGCTGCGATCAACACATAGATCTATATATGTTAGAAACAGAGGGAACTTTACGTGGTTTACACTGCGATCAACACATATATATGTTAGAAAACAGAGGAAACTTTACGTGGTTTACGCTGTGATCAACACATAGACCTATATATGTTCGAAAACAGAGGAAACTTTACGTGGTGTACGCTGCGATCAACACATACATATGTTAGAAAACAGAGGAAACTGGATGTGGTGTACGCTGCGATCAACACATACATATGTTAGAAACAGAGGAAACTGGATGTGGTTTACGCTGCGATCAACACATATATATGTTAGAAAACAGAGGAAACTTTACGTGGTATACGCTGCGATCAACACATATATATGTTAGAAAACAGAGGAAACTTTACGTGGTATACGCTGCGATCAACACATATATATGTTAGAAAACAGAGGAAACTGGATGTGGTGTACGCTGCGATCAACACATACATATGTTAGAAACAGAGGAAACTGGATGTGGTGTACGCTGCGATCAACACATACATATGTTAGAAACAGAGGAAACTGGATGTGGTTTACGCTGCGATCAACACATATATATGTTAGAAAACAGAGGAAACTTTACGTGGTATACGCTGCGATCAACACATATATATGTTAGAAAACAGAGGAAACTTTACGTGGTATACGCTGCGATCAACACATATATATGTTAGAAAACAGAGGAAACTGGATGTGGTGTACGCTGCGATCAACACATACATATGTTAAAAACAGAGGAAACTGGATGTGGTGTACGCTGCAGTTAACGCATATTTGTTAGAATATATAGCTCAGAACAGAATAAGACGTAGTTGATGTGGGACAGAGACAGAAGAGAGAGAAACAGAGAGAAAAAAACAGAAAGAGAGGAGTTAGAGAGAGAAAGAGAAAGGGGACAGAGAAAGAAAAATGGGGACAGAGAGGGAGCGAGAGAGAGACAGAGAGAGAACGAGAGAGAGAAGGAGGGAGAGAGAATGAGAGATGGGGTAGAGTAATAAAGTAATATAAATGCCTCCCAGCACAGGAGAAAGACACATTAAACTTAAAAGACCTTGACCCCCCCCCCCAAAAGAAAAAAACCCCGAAAAAGAACCCCAAAACAACAACAACAAACAAACCAAAAAAAAGCACACACACACACACACACACACAAAAACCCCCAAACAAACCGGGTGCGCCACAAGCGTGCGCTGTTTGTTCCTGAGTCCGCTGGCAAACTGCGACACGGCCAGACAGCTGCTAGACGTGGCCACCACCATGTCTTCCGTGATAAACTCGTCCATCTGCTCAAACACTCCGCGCTTCAGATCCACAGACTCCGGCACACACTCCTGGAGGATTTACACATGGACGGAGCTGTTTTTACTCTACCATCAACATAATTTAGATTTTTAGATTATATAGATCTATACGGAAGTAGAAGATGGGCCTGCGACCCAGCCTGTCAGTGCTGGCAGTAGAAGCACATACTCCTGGAGGATTTAGACGTTTTTACACTACCATCAACACAATTTAGATCATCTAGAAGATGGGCCTGCGACCCAGCCTGTCAGTGCTGGCAGTAGAAGCACACACTCTTGGAGGATTTAGACATGGACGGAGCTGTTTTTACGCCCTCATCGACACAATTTAGATCACCTAGAAGATGGGCTTCCGATCCAGCCAGTCAGTGCGTCGTCACTTTAAAACTATTTCGTCCAAAGTGCCTCTTTACTAACGTACACTTCCCACAAAAGAGTTCCGAGGCCACGACTTCCTGGCAGTGAAGGCGTCAAGAAGAAAACAAAACAAATCTGATACGTATAAAAAACAAAAGTTATTTTAAAATCTTTCGCCAGCATTTTTTTTATTGGAATGAAACGTTAAAGTCGCCTGAAGACACTTACAGGGAACTGCACGACCTCAACCTGATGGCAACATATCTGGCCTCACCAAACATCAGCCCGATGACCAAAAGGCTGGCGGGTGCTCGTGAGGCTTTTATATCGTGAGGATTCACAATACTACGTGAAAGGTCTGAGGAGCTCAGAGGACTGACAAGTAATTTATTGGGTTTTTAAAAAAATGTACGTCTCAGGGTCCTTGGTACGTTATAGCTTAGCTTCTGTTCCAGAAGAAATTTTCAATTTGAATTAAAGTAAAATTGAGTTGGAGCTGCTACTCGTTTTTCTCTGCAAATGGCAATTGCACTTGGCAGGTGTACATGAATCAAGACTGACCACAATTTGTCTATACCTAACCTCTACCACTTGTCAAGACAGCAATCAGTGTTGTCCCGTTGTACTGCCAGCCCAAATGAACCGCCAACTTTTTGCTCGTCTCAAGGTAGGCGGTATAACAAGCCTTGACGGTATTCAGTGTTATTAATTATTATTTGCACAGCTGGCTGACGATTGGCCCACCCACCTGTACGTACTGAGCTCCTCGCAAACAGTCCTCGAGACTGCTGGAGCCAGAGATGAGCTCGGCCTGTTGAGTGGCGCTGAGCTCGCCCCGCAGACAGCCCTGGGCCTCGTAGCCGGTCAGCGTACTGCGGATGTTGTCCAGGGCTTTGGACACCTGTGGGACAGGAAGTGGAGGGAGGGGCCTCATCAGTATTGTGGATAATGCTGCTAGTACAGTAGAACATGACTACAGCGGCACCAGCTGCAGCGGGACCATCTCTACAGCGGGACCATCTCTACAGCGGACCATCTCTACAGTGGACCATCTCTACAGTGGGACCATCCCTACAGTGGGACCATCTCTACAGCGGGACCTTACCGGAATCCCTGTTTTTGTGTCTGTGTAAACTCAACTACCTGTGCTTGGGTTTATTGGGGCAAGGAGAGGCTCGTACTTAGATATATAGCAGGACAGATTGAGAGAGCTCTAGTAGCAGGGGGGGGGAAGGGGTTGAGTGGTGGGGGACTGTAGGTGGGCTCCAAACAGGCAGTCAGCAGTGCAGCCATTGTGATTGGCCAGTCCAGTGATGAGTGAGGTGGGGCAGGTGGCAAAGAGAGATGGTGCGGAGAGACGCGTTACGTGAGTCACTCCAAAAGTGAAGTGCCATAGCCCTAGGGCTAGGCTAGGTCAAAAAGACAGTAAAAGAAAAGGAGAGTGTGTAGAGCGTGATTTTTCGGTAATTCCCCTCTTCATTCCTATAGCGGGAACTGGCCTACAGCAGGATTTTTCTTCTGGAACAAAAAGTCCTGCTCTAGCCATGTTCTACGGTAGTGCTAGAGGTCATAGCACAGATGTAGGAGATTTGGGTAAACCCAGACAACATTTTAAAAGAAAATTCAACATGGGTAAATTCAGTACCTTAATTTATATTTTGAAACCCCCCCCCCAAAACCCCAGTATAATATGATATCATGTATACAAAGGGAGTGCACAGCGAGATTTTTAAAGACTCCTGACATTGATAAATTCAGTAGGCCTACTGTATTAAAATCAAACATTCCAACTTTTGGTGTTCTTTTTTTGGCTGAGCAGTACATCACCCATTTGTTTGTTTAAAGCAAACTGAGCCCAAAAATGTGAAATTATGCGATTCTGTTAATTTTAACAAAGAATGATAAAGGAAAATAATCAGAAATTGTGCAAAAAAATGATCACATTTTGCTAAGTTATGTCGGGTGCGTAAAACCTCGGGGACAGGTAAGTAAACATGTACCCAGTCCTTTTTTGTTTTTGTTTTTAAAAAAATGTGAATTAAAAGACGGTACATTTTGGAAGGATCTGAACCGGCGTCTGTGGTGTAGTGGTTAGCTGCTTTGCTGTAACATGCAGGGTGCGGAAGGTCTGAGTTCAATTCCCGAGTAGGGAGAGATTCTAATCGAGTTTCTCTGTCTTTCTGCTGGGATGTTGTATAAATCCCTCTCAGACAAGGTCCGCTTCGACAGGCAGGGTCGAAAGACTGCCTCCTAAAATACCTAAACTGTGCTGATTGGTTGGAGGCAGGTGGGTATGTGGTTAAAAAACAACTACAATAAAAAAAAAAAGAAGTAAATAAGTATATATAAATTTTTTTGACTTTAAAAAATTGTTGTTTTTTAAAAATTTTAACAACTTTTTAAAATGACAAAGTTGAACATTCTAATGAAACATTTCATGAGACACGAACCACTTATTCCTATCATCAAGAAAATCAGACAAAACGGTATTGGAATCTTACCTGCTCAGGATATATGTCAAAGATGGCCACTTTGTGTCCACTCCCGGCAAATATCATTGACCAAGACTGACCAATAAGTCCGCTGGCGATAGATGAAATAACAACCTCCTCAATATCAACATATAGCTAAAGAACGCACCACCGGCCATCCGATAAAAACTAGAGCAGCTAATTGTGTAGTATACATGGATTCGTTTACTCATATCATAAGTTAGCTAATATCATATGAACCTAAAATTTCAAATTTTGAAAATATCTTTGGTGCTCCGAAGGTATTAAGAAAACAATATTTCTAAAGCCACATTGTCCCAGGGAATAATTATGTCAAGAGGCTGGTCCAGGATCGGGAGAAGTGGAAAGTGTTTGTTCCTGGCCTGTACTGTAACTTGATGTAGGATGAGAAAGGCAATGATGTGATGATGGTGATGGTGATGATGATGATGATGATGATGATGATGATGATGAACATTGTAGTCACTTCCTGTGTCTAGAAGCTATTTATATAATTAATTTCAGAAAAAACCCCCCAACTGAAGTGAGGTTTCGTTCAAGTTGTATTTTACTGTAAAGAGAAAATAATCTTATTTAGATCATGTTCATTATTTATGCGAAACAGTTCACGACTGATACTAAAATAATCAAACTGAAAGTAGCCAGCTGTATAGTATTGTGCATAATATATACAGTCAAACCTGCTCAACTGACCGCCATCTGTCCAAGACAACCACCTGGCAAATGCCCACTTTCCACCTTGCAGTTCTATTTAGACTGGTTAGGCTCTCAGACTCACAACCGTAAAGTCGTGGGTTCAAATCTCATCAGGAGCCCGACGTTGTGTCCTTGGGAAAGGCACTTTACACGAATTTTCCTCACTTCACCCAGGTGGGAATGGGTACCCAGCTATAGACAGTGAAAGATCTTGTCAGTTTGTTAGTGTTGGAGCGCTTAATCAGCTGCTTGCACTGTGTGCTTCCCAGGAAGCTGAGAATGTTTCTGAGTGTCCTATGGTCTGCTGGGGTAATAATATAGTGTAAAGCACAAGAGCTTGCTGTTGAGTGGGGATATGCACTATGCACATGCTATTTATTATTATTACTATTATTGTTATTACTATAATATCACTGTGCAGAGACATCTACCTGTCTAAGACAACCACTTTTCTCCCTAGCAATGGGTGGCCGTCTTCGACAATTTCAGCTTATATCTCAAAACCTCTTTCATCTTCACATTACACCAGTTTCTGACGCGATTGTTCATCCATTTGCATAACACAGTTTTTACTATACCACAAGTCACAATGATCAATAACTGCTGCAATATAAGATATGAGATTGTGTTAAAGAAACACGAAAAACAACACATATGATATGACCATAATTCTCTCCCAACAAGAACACGATACTAGCTGGGCCCCCTTTTTTCGAAAGGTTTGATCGGTGCATTAACATCAACTGAAAGCCTACTACATAACAATGGAATGGAGCAATAAATCTTGAGAGAAAAGTGACACATGAGTTTCCAAGTTGCCAAACATATAATAGATGTACAGATTGATTCTCTATTCCACTTTCATGGTTGTACACTCCAGAATTTCAAAGGTGTGGAAATAGTACGCACGGATAGTGAACGGAAACCTCACCTGTTTACAATGGCAACTTAGAAGACGGTCTTTCCCAAGATTAGATCTAAACGAAAATAACGAAAAACTGAAAAATAAACTTCAGGCTCCTCAATGAAACTGTGCACTGTTTAAATGATTCTGAACCACCATTAATTTTGTCAAATTCGAAACTTAAATTAAGTGGTTTGGAAGCTTTAGGCAGAAAAAGTGACGAACTTTCACAAATATAATATATAAAGATAGAGATGACCCTAATTCTCTCCCAACAACAACACATATGATATGACCCTAATTCTCTCTCTTTCCATAAGACCAACCTGCCGACAATTGCTATCTTTTCTTTCTCTGCTGCTGACGCCATCACTCCCGAGTTGAAGGAAATTGTGAAGCCACTTCAAGACCTGATGGCAAAGACAGAACTAGTGTGATTTCAGTCTGCAAAACATTCCTTCAGGAACATTACTTACAAATCACAAGCCAGCTGTTCCGAAGAGGCTGAAATGCTTTTAAAAAACTTGAAACATTTTTAAAATTACTGTTTCATTAATCTGTGGCATAGGTTGCAAATATTTGAGAAATATTGGTTGAAATTCAAATTTTAAAATGTTTAAATATCAAGAAAAGATATATATGTTGTTGGTACAATAATTGTTAAAAAGAATGAGACTTTTGTTTCTCTCTGTGGGGGGTAGAACAGTTGAATAGTTTGCGGACAAATTATGCTGATGAAAAAACGGCACAAAACTGAAGCTTGATGACGAGAGCGGTATGTACGTAAATACTGCAGCAGGAGAACATGAACAAATAAAAGTAGAGGCAAGCTTTTACAGTTGGGTGGCAACATATTATGGTGAAATCAGGCACTCGTCAAAAAAATGAAATCAAAGAAACCGACGTTTTTCCCCACACTTTAAACAATTCTTTATTTCCATTTAAAAACACATTTCTGTGTGGGTTTTGCTGAAAAACATTGATCAAAGGCACAAAATTCGAACATTTGTTAAGTTTCCTTGGACACTCAAGCTGTGGAAGTCACCAAACTTTCACAGCCATTTTACCTCTGAGACCAGACAACCCCCACCTCCTTCAATTGCAAATATCTCAACATCTTTTCAAGAATGACAGTATTGTTTTTACCAAAAGCAAAACAAATGAACAAGCTTAAGATTATACCAATAACTCTATGAAAGTAATTCACCTGATTCCACATAGGCCTACTGTGCAGAGATACATAATATCAACTGTTGACCAAAACAGCAATAATATGTAAACACACTTCTATAATAATCACCAGACAAAACAGTGAACATACCTTTCCAAGCTAAATATGAGACTGCAATAAAAAGCTCTCAGCTGCAGCTAGGATAGCAGGCAGCGTCACTTAGGGACCAGACACTTGTAACTTGGAAGCAGATTTATCGGAAAGCAGAAGGCTGGAAACAGACAGGGCAGAGATAAGAGAAGATAATAATATGATCAAGTGGTTTCCTTCATAACAAAGGTCATCCATGCTGTAAGGGACTATTTCACCGTCAGTCGGAACAGAGGAGGGAGATTAGATCTACTTGAGATTCCGCACACAAGTCAGAAAAGTTGTGCTCTAAACCAACTTCTCAACATTAGTCACACTAGGCAGGGATACTTTGTGGGTCAGACCTGAGTAGTTGGCAAATCTGCATAGCTCTAGATTAGATCTAGATCTAGATCTATATATATAAAGTCATGCAACTTTGGTAATTTAAAGGCACTGCTATTGGTAGGCCCTTACTGATACTTTAATTGTTAATCTTAATAGATTCTGTTGAAGACTGTTGATTAAACTTCAATGTCATTCCTCATGACATGGCATCAATTTTACGTTTTTATAAAAATACGGTACTGGATAATTGAGGAGGGGGGGGGGGGGTACAGCAACTGCACATGATGCTAAAAGAGGGTGCCAAAGACAAAGTGTCAACAGCTCGTCCGCATCCTCAACAATAAACTATTAGAAAAGAATGATTAGATCTAGACAGTCGAGTCTAGTCTGCACAGAAAGCTCAACAAGAACAGATAATAAATTACCAACAACACAAAATCTAGGTAATAGAAGTTAACAGAATTTAAGCTTCGGGTCGCGCATGTGTCTTGATCTTGAGTCTAGGGTGATCTTGTGGTCTTGTAGTTCCGTTCGTTTAAGTCCACGATCCATTTGTTTACATCGAGAGAAGAAATCCAGAAGTTTTGATGACCAAATACTAATTTTAATGAATGTGTTTATCTTGCACCGGCAAACTAAACTAGTGGTGTCTTGTCATGTCGTTACCAGCTTACCTTGTGATATGAATCCATTCAGATTCTCGATTCTTCACTCCTCCTTCATGCCTCACCGCTGCTGACACACCCCCTAAAAAATTAGTGCTAAACATAATTCAAGGGGGGTAACAGTTATATTATTATTTCCTGATAAGATGTAAAGCAGTTACGTACCTTCTGAGGTTGAAGGTTTTTTTTCTTTCTTTTGGTTTCTCTTTGTTGAACGGTTGTTGGCGAATGAGGACAATGAGATCTACATAATTTATATGTTTCCTTCGTTAGACAACTGCACACCTCCTACCCTCACCACCCTCTGTCCTTCTCCCTCCTCCCCCTCCATTCCCCTG